TTCATACCGTAAACCTATCATATTTATTAATTCATCGCCATTCTTTTCTTTCATCTGAATTAATAATTTAATAACTCCCAAACTAAAATTAAATCAAAATTAAACTAAAATTAAACTGACATAATTTAAAATTAAATTTTCTTCTTTGTACTAAAATTTAATAAATTTAAATTGAAAATAAAATGAGATGTTGATAAAAATTAAAATGGTATTGATATAAACATTTAAAATAATATTATATTTTCATCACTTATTAAATGACAAATATATTATTGAAAAAATTAATCAAATTTAGTTTTGATCATATAAATTATTCGTTTCTAAAAAAGGTTTTGTAATTTTTCTTCTACTAATTTTTAATAAGTTTTTCTTTTCATGTTCAACAGCCGAATATATTATTTAAATAAATCAGATATAATTCTGATGCTAAATTATTCGCTTCTCAAAAGAATGTTTTGTAATTTTTCTTCTACTAATTTTTAATAAGTTTTTAATGTCATGTTCACCATATATTGCTCATCTACACTCCTCTTCCTGGCTTTTCTCTTTGGCCTGGTTTAACCTTTTTCACACTATCAGCTTGCTTATCGCGTGTCCTCATAATGAACCTAGAAGTGAAATCCCTATGAATAAGAAAGAAGTGTGCGAGATACATTTTTGTTTACCTGACCTGTTAAGAAAAACTGAAATACAGGACAATATTTTTGTGTAAGCAGTATTAAAACGAGAACAAAAAAATAAGTTAATAAAATAATTGAGGAACAGAATAAAATCTAGAAATAAATTGTTACCAACAGATATAATCAATATTTTCTATTTTTTATTTATAAGCAATCTATAAATTTGTGATTTACAGTTGCAAATATATATATATCTATGTATGTAACATTAATTCAGAACAAAGGGACATTCAAGAAGAAGAAGAAAAAGTGGCACGTCGTTTTTGTTCTCTTTTTTTACCTTTTTTTCCGCGACTACTCTTTCAATTCTACGAACGGGAAAGAGCGCATCTGCATAGGACAGAGACTTTTTTTGTGAGCGTGATCAGCATGCTGAAATTCTGCTCTCCCGCTCAACGAAGGCGCAATGCCATGGTGAGAATTTAAGCGTCGAATTAGTGGTTGGTTCACAGAGCGCTTCGTCTAGAAAAGGAGAGCTTTTCACTGTGAACCCGAGGCTCGAAAAGTTCGACGAGCCGCGCTAAACTGTGATAAATCTCCAAGCCTGCAGGCAGGCCACCCGCTCTACACCCTCGTATAACGGTTTAACATTGCTCAACTAGAATTCTCACACATTTTTTAATGTACAAGAGATATTTTACAATGAAACCAATGAATTACCTTAATCATTATTTCAATTTTCGATAATGTACAATAATAGGATTTTTTGGTTTTTAAACAAATTTTTTTTAAATGAATACTTGACTAATTTTTAAAATTAAATAAAGAATTTGTTACACATTGATTATCGAAGCATCGTAATTTACTAAAACTACATACCATGGATTAAAAAATTTAATGGAACGGTAAATGTTTGATTACAGGTGAATCCAGGAAGTAAGGCTGCTCAACAAGGTGTGAGAGAGGGTGACTTGATTAGCAGTATCAACGGAAAAAGTACTCGTGAACTCACCAACAGTGAATCACACGCGCTTTTACGAAATGCTGGCGATCATTTAAAACTTGGATTAAATCAGTGAGTTAAATAATAAACTATTATGCTTTTCCGGACTAGCTTGAAAATTAACTAAGATTATAATTTAATTATTCAAACTTTACTCACCATCAAGAACCAACTGTTGCATGCAGGTACTTCCCCTTCGACAGCTTTCCATTTTCCAAAACCTAATATTGCGTTCACCGCCGGCTGCGCTAAGGGATTATAATTTACTAAGGAGCGCGGTTTTCTTCTTGTCCTCGACTATTCTGATTGGCTGGCGCAGCCGGAAATCTGGACTCTTTAACCTACGTGGGAAATAGTACACTTTAATTTTTATGAAATTAAAAAACACATTAGAAGTATAAAATTTAAATGTTCGATTTTGTAATTGGCGCGAAATCTGCAGTTAACAGTTTTGACGTATGCATTTTTTAATGAAAGGTTTTGTAAATTTTCTTCTACTGATTTTTAATAAGTTTTAAATGTCATGTTCAGAACCTCTTCAATCGAACTTCATGTATGAATTTTTAAATGAAATGTTCTGTAATTTTTCTTCTACTGATTTTTAATAAGTTTTTAAAGTCATGTTCAAAACCTCTTCACTCGGTAGGACAGTGTCGACTGCCCCGATTCGAGTTGCGCGACTGCTTTTATACTCGAGTACTCTGCGCGAGTGGGGACTGTTTGTCGCTCAGTAGGGGAGGACTCTCGCGCTCTGATTGGTTAGACGCAAAGTCAGGAGCGTCACACTGTAAAATTTCCCCCTAAACACTATACAAATCCAAACATAATTTATTTATGAAAATAATTATTCTGCGTTAGTAAAATTTGTACATTATTAAAATCCTGATTATTACATTTCGCTAATAATATTCCCTAATCCACGTTGTCAAATGCTTTCTAAAAATTAGTACAAAAGGTATCAATTTAAAAATTTTCTCTTGGAAGAACTCCCTGTCATGTTTCAAATGCAATTAGATTAGAAATAGTGGTCGCCCTTTTATTTATATTTACATTTTTTTTCCAGTCATTTATAGGAAATTTTTTAAAAGATTTTCTTTGCAAAAAAAGATTTACTAACTTTTATTTTTAGTTTCCACTGCATTTTTCTTAAAATTGGAGAAGAAATATATTTTTTTTTTAAGGCTAAGGCAATTTTGTTCGCTGTAGTTCAATGTTTGCATTCGATAGCACATAAATCTCAGTGGCTGGGGAAGCGATTGGAATTTCTTTCTGGAGAGGATCGCAATTGATCGATGGACTACGGAAATAAATATATTCCCCAACGTTAAATTTTCTAAAAGATTCTATATACATATATACTGTTCGTGAGATTGATGGGCATTACTCTATTTAAATTGTAATCGTTAACATAATGGTGTAATAATACAATGAAACTTTAGCACTCACCATTTGCGCTAATTGTTACCGGAAATACAATTGTGACGTCACATGAGAGAGAGAGAGGGTGCGCCTGACATACCTGTATTCGTATTTTCCGGAGCAAATCAATTGTCCTTGGTATTTTTTTTTCTTTCTATAACGAAAGTCCATTCGGACACATTCACATACGTAACTATTCGTAACGGTTCAGTAGACTTCATCGGTTTTTAGACGTCCGTAACAAATTTTGTACCTACATGCAACTGTATAATGTTTCCAGTTCGAATTTCTGTTTTTAAATAAAAGGGAATTTTTGGATCTTTGAACTTTTGGAATATATTTCTGTTTTAGGGAAAACGGATCTCCGAAGAGAAGAATTTACAAAAGTAGCCTTCAAGAAAGCAGTTCTACGGAAACATTGAAAAGTAAGAAATTTTTACTTTACATTTAAGTTATGCAATAGATTGGAAACTATATAATTAAAATGTTATCCGTTTTCAGAAACCACAAAATCAATTACATCAAATACGCGTATTATCACAGACGAACCCGGAAAGAACGAAATTGGTGAGTGGAATACTTTTAACATTTATTTAAAATTTAGTTTCTAATTGGGAATAGGGTGCGAATAATTTTTAGACCTGAATGCGAAACTGCATATTTTGGTATGTAATTTATTTTTTTCCGAATATTATGAACTGTGTGGTGGGAATGGACGCGAAATTTTCGTGAATGAAAGAAAACGATTGTAATTTTAATTGGGTAGATATATAATGTCTAAACGGCTATTCAATTAAACACGAAATGAGCTTTCACTCGGTTTGATAAAAGACCCTGCGTCGTTTAACTCGACTGTCAAACTCACCCACGCTTGAAATCACAAAGTGCACAATGCTGTATAGTAGTGGTTATCTCGCTTATCTTCCCCTCTCTGTCTCTATCATTATTTTTCCTCCTTCCGTACCCGTACTGATTTAACATCCCTATAGGGGTTTTCTTATCCATGCGTATCAAAAGGTCCCATTCACCAATCAAGGGCTAATATGTCGAAGACGAGCCCAACTTATATTAAATATCCTCCTTCTCCTCTCATATGAAATTGCCTTGACTTCATGCTTTGCTGATTACGCACTTAACGTATACACACTGTCTTCATTTAATGACATCTATACATTCTGCCACAATATTATATGCGCGCATAGTTCCTCAACAAGATTACATTCAAGTTGACTGTGCTTTGACGTTCAGTTGACAAAGGCTAATCTTTTAGTTCTCCAAAATCAAGCCTCTGTCATATTAATCCCTTAGACTGATAATAATCTTCCAACGACACTGCGTCTATTCTCAATATACAAACAATAGAAAAATTCTACGAAGGAGTTTATTATCCATAAAAGTGTAATACCGAAAAAAGGGAGATGCAAAATTGTTTCTTCTACTGATTTTTAATAAGTTTTTATGGTCATGTTTCTTCTGCTAATTTTTAATAAGTTTTTAGTGTCATGTTTCTTCTACTGATATTTAATAAGTTTTTAATGTCATGTTCACCAAACATTTGCTCACAATCCAGACGATCAGGAAAATTTATTCTTTAAGAGCACGAATTTACTTGTACTGTTAGAATCTGCAATACTTTTAGGATTGCCCTCTAATTGCCTAAACCAACCACAGAAAAGAGGAAGTCTCACAATCCAGACGATCAGGAGAATTTATTCTTTAAGAGCACGAATTTACTTGTACTGTTAGAATCTGCAATACTTTTAGGATTGCCCTCTAATTGCCTAAACCAACCACAGAAAGGAGGAAGTTTTCTAATTTTTGTATTCAAATTTGGTGAGTTGATGATGTTGAACGTTTGTTCAACATCATCAACTCACCAAACCTGGAGACAAAAATTAGAAAACTTCCTCCTTTCTGCGATTGATTTTTGTCTTCATATCTCTTGAGAAGAAGAAAATAATTCCTCTGCTAGGTGTTAATTGTCAACAATGAAGGAAACGAATTCCACTTCCTCTAAACATAAAAGACCATTGTTTAGTATTCAAGTTCGAATACATTATGTAGTAATATTTTTCAAAACTTTCAATTCGACAAGGACAGAAGTTAAGAGAATGGTCATCCCTACCCACCTCCCTCGTCTCTTTAAACAAAAGAAGAAGTCCCTCGTACTTTCACGCATACATGCACCTGCTGATTACACCCACGTGTTTGCTCGAGACGGGCGCACCCTCCACTTAAGCGCCCTACGCCTACCAACAACAAGAACCGATTCAAGTCTTCCTTTTCATATTGTCCAAGCAATATTCTACTTTAGTTGTCAGTGTTCACCTTCTCGGGCGTCATCGCTTAAACCAGTCATCACTAAACTTCCAATACTTAATATAATCTTCTCGCGAAATGAATCATCTGAAAGACAACTTGACATCAATTAATTATGTACTATCATGTTGTTGATGATGATCATCATCTTATTCACTCCGGAAAGCATCACATGTAACAGTCCTTGGATGACGATCAAACTTATTCATCCATACCTTCATTAATGACAGGAAGACTCGAAAAAAGTTGAAAAATCCTTATCAGTGTCGAAGTTCATTGAGTCCAATCACTTACATAAAAAAAAATTTCTATTTATTACGGAAGCAGATAATAATAAATAGAAGTGAAAAACTTTTCATCAAAACAAATCTTAAAATAGTGAACAAAAACCCAAAGTACAATGCAACCCGGAGGAAAATACACCAGAGTTAGCATCAAACGGATTTTCTAATCAGAAACAGAAGCATTTACTAATTCCTGTATAAAAATCATCAAACCAAAAAAGATGAAATTCCTCAGTTGTTCCCGTTGTTTTTCCACAATAGAAACTCCACGTTCATCAAGTCATCATCCGGAAGTGTTCAATCCTCTAATAATGACAAAACGACCAAAACCAAAAATTGACAATCCTTCAACAAAAACATCATTTGCTGCTGTGCCCCGTTTTCCAACATTATTAAAAGTCATCAGTAGACCATGGCGTCGACGAAAGAAACCAAGACCTAAAATTCGCCTCGAAACACGGCACAAAACAAAGAAACGTGACTTGATAAAAGAAAAAATACCCAACCACCCAAAAACAACGAATTCTCATTATTCATCATACAAGAGAAAAGTAAATCAAGTTCAAGAAAATTTTCCAAAAGTTAGAGATATTCAACATTATGAAAAGGAATACACGGAACAATTTGAAGCACTAAAATTTCTCATTGATCCACCCGATTGCTTCAAGAATCCCGAAACGCGTCAGAATTTTGAAAATAAATTAAATACACTTGATTTTAGACGAATGAACACTGTCGCAATTGCCTTGGATAATGAGGATTCGTCCAAAAAATTAATTGACTACTACTTTAATGGAAAAGAAATTGTCAAAGAAATTGTCGAAACTGAAGAATTTTCCTCAAAATTGGATAAATTTGTACACAATCAATTAAAAATTGAGGAAACGATGATTAATCTTTTGAATCGTGAACCAATTTTAAAGAAGGATAGAGATGGTTCTCCGGCTAGTAGAAAAACGGTTAGATTTTTAGACGATGAGCATATGGATGTTAAACAAAAAAGTGTTGATGAAAATACCAAAAATTTAAAAATGGAAAAATTTAGTATTGAATTAGAAACAAATTTTTCATTTAGTGAATGTGAAAAAGAAATGGAAGTTGAATGTGTAAATGCGGATGTGATAATTGAATTAAAAGATCATGTTTTGCAAGAGGAACCAATGTATAACGAATCATTTGTTAATGATTTTAATTTTCTACTGAAAAACATGGACGTGAACGATTCGAATTCTCCTACAGATAACAATTTACCAGATGATATTGATCCCTGTGAGGAATTTGGAGACATTCCGGATGTCAATGAAACCGATGGTATTGAATTCTATTTTTTATTTAACTAGTCATTTGAAAAGTAGAAATAGATTAAAAATAGAAAAAGAAATAGATTCTTCTATAAGCTAATCGATTTATTTTTGATAATTTCGAAATTTTTTTATGGTTTTTTCTGATAATGATTGTAATTATAATAATGATGATAATGATGATGAAGGGGATAGAAGAGAAAGATTAGAGGAGAAATTAAACTTCAGTTTTATAGACCTGTCAATTTTATACCCAACCAGCATCCTCTGTATGGAATAATTTTACTCCGGAAATAAGAATCCTCTACCCCGCACAAGCAAAGCGGCTTGACCGGAAATTATTCCTTTATCGGTTCAACTATCCCTCCTACTTTCTGATGTACAGAAAGCTATTTCGAGTCCTGAATATTTATTTCATCAAAAAACAAATTTCATTTCAAGAAAAATTTTTCCCCATCATATCGCGTCGAATGTTTGTCACAAATATTTAAAGGATTTCCCTTTTCTTTGTTTTCTACCGAAATTTGTATTTCAGTTCAATTATTTTTACAAGTAATTACATTTTTCACAAGAATTCAATTATTTAAAAAATTGTAATAAAATTCGTTGTAAGAATTCAATTATTTTCATAAATAATAAAAATTTTTACGCAGGATTTCAATTATTTTTAATACAATTTTAAATAAATTCCTCGAAAAATGTAATTATTTTCAAAAATTTCTTGCAAAAATTCAATTACACTTCAGAAATAATGAAATTCTTCACTGAAATTCAAATATTTTCATAATCTACTATTTTAATCAAATTTCTTAAATGAATTCAATTATTTTTAAAAAATGTATTAATTTATTGAATAAATGAATATTTATCAGAATTGAATCCTCATAAAGAATTTTATCAACAAATTTTTAAATAATTACATTTTTCGAGGAATTCGATTAAAATTGTATTAACAATAATTAAAATTCTATGATGAGTTTTATTATTTATGAAAATAATAATTGATTCTCGGTAATTTGTAAATATTGTTGAATTTCTGTGAAATTTGTATTATTTATGAAAAAAATTGAGTATTTGCTTAGAATTTTAGCATCACTTTTTTTAAATAACTGAAATCTTTTGAAAAATTTTATTAAAATGGTATAGATATTGAAAATCATTAAATTGATGAAAATTTTTGAATAATTAATTGCAAATTTACAAAGAATTTTATGAACATTTTTAAAAATGATTAAATTTTAGAGAAGAATTTTATTATTCTTAAAGATAATTGAAATTTTGACGTGTCATTTAAAAAATTTTTCGAATATAATTGAATTTCTGCGAAGAATTCTATTAAAATGCCTCAAAATAATTGAATTTTCGGGAATAATTTTGTTATTTATCGGGACATAATTGAATTCTTTCGAAGAATTATTTATGTAAATAATTGAATTCTTGGGAGGAATAATTAATAAAAATAATAATAATTAAATTATTTCAAACAAATTTAATTAAAATTGTATTTAAAATAATTTTTTTTTCTAACAATTTTATTAAAATATTTGAATTTCTGTGAAAAAATCTAGCACTTTTCTAAATAATTAAATTATGCCAAGGAATTTAAAAAAACATGTTTTTAAATAATTGATTTTCTTGAGGAATTTGAAATCAAGTTTTTAAGAATAATTGCATTTTTTTACCGCAATTCCTGTAAAATTTTATTAAAAACAATTGAAATTTTTCGATGAATTTGTTAATTTATGAAAATAATTGAATTCTTCTTAAGAATTTTATAAACATTGTTTTAAATAATTAATTTTTTTTAAATATAATAAATATTATGAAAATTTTATTTTAAATAATTGAATTCTGGTGAAAAACTTTATTTGTGAAAATAATTGAATTTTTTGATTATTTGAAAAGAATTGAATTGAATAGAAATGTTTTTATATAAACACAATCTGCTTTTTAATATTGCTTGTTAAAAAAATCGACTGTCTGTAATTTAATACATATCTTAAGCTTTATAAATATTTAAAAAAAATTGTTTTTAATTAAAATCGTGAACATGATTGGCACTTCAATTTTTGTCTGAAACAAGTAAACAAATATTTTTCTTAAAAAGTAATAAATTTTGAACGGAGTGACGAAGCCGTTTTAAAAAAAAAAATTTACGCAAACGGAAGCACTTTAAAAATTGACTTCATGTTTTGGGCTAAAAATACCGTATAAAAAATTGTATAAAAATTTTTCAAATTATTCAATCGAAAAAATTCCACGTCATTCTGTGAAAAACCTATTTAGGAAGGTGTTTTTTTTAATTTTCAAGTCAATCGGTTGAATAGTTTTCGAGTTATCATGTACACCGCCTCGAAAAATGTGGTTTCGACGAAAACGCAAAAGAAGAAAAAATTTACTTTAGTGTATTATAACTTGAAATTTTGTCAACTTAATAATTAATCAGTAATTCCTGAGCTATAATACTCTTCTCTTAGAATGGAAAGAATGTCGTCCGATTCCTTTTGTTAAACTCTTTTTAATTTTCTGGCCTCCTTTGTCGTCTCCTGCGCTCTCAGGTTGGCGATGGATACTCGGCGTTGATCAACTTCTTCGCACATTCGCTGTGCATTTGGTCCAAATTTTAAATTTAATACTTCTACTTTAATACTTTCTACCCGGGCACACAGTTTTTGATATTTTTATTTAATATTAAAATTTACGTATAAAACTCAACAATCTTTACTCTGTAGCTCGGAGCCAAAGAATGACAACTTTCGTAAGGTGCAAAATATTTTTAGAAACGAGATTCTATTACAGTGGAAGGGATACAATGAATAGGACCCTTCGTAAATCATGAAAGGGCCCCCCTAGACCATTTGAAAGTGGAAAGTCGTTAAGAAGGCGCCAAACGGCTTCCAGCAGCTCTCAGCGCGCTGACTTCTAATGAACATAACTTTCGTAATTATTGAGACATTGTCTTTGGAGAACATCTCAAAATACTCGTTAGAATATAGACTTTGAAATTAAGCAAGAAAAAAAATTAAATATTTTGAAAATTTCAGGGTGGCGTAACCCCTTAACTGTAAGAAAAGACAAAAAATAATCGTTTTTTCAAAAGTACCTACTAAATAATGTCTTTATTAAAACCAAAAGTATTAACACGCATTCCTTATGGCTAAAATATTTCCCGAGCATCATCAAAGCTAATGTTGTTGTCCATGGGAGCAAATTCAAGAGATGCCGGGAATTGTCGGTGTGTTTTGTGGTATTAATGTCACATTAACGGCATAACGTTCACTAGTGCGTATGTAATGTGCTACGTTCGATAGATATATGCAGCATTGATTTCAAATCCGACAGTTAGAGCCAAGCAAGTATCGATTCTGCAATGTGTTGGAAATATCAACATGAGAGCATGTACATGACACGTACGTTATAATGTATTGGATGGGCGCGGTGTCATGGGCCGTTGAGGGCCGTGCCCATGTTTCCGCAAGTCTCATCTTCTATCCTTCATGTTTTACATTTATATCCTTCACCTCACACGACCTCCATTTCATCCATTTCATATATAAGCCCATCCTGAATTTCAACGATTGTTACCCATCCCTCTCTTCGATTTCTATCACCAGTTTTTTTTTTTTTTTTTTGCTGCAAATTATTTTCCAAATCCGCTATTTTCTAATATTTGTCTAATGAAAAATTGATCTCAATTAAAAGGACAATTTGAACTCACTATTTAGACTAACCGCATTAATTGTATGCCAATTTTTCTCTTTTCCAGATTTATCCATTACTTTCTGTAACATTTTATTACAAAAGAAAGGAGTGAAAGTATTTATAAATCCCCCTTTTATTAGGGTATCATGCATAGAACCACTTCCGCAGAGGGACTTCCTTCCGAAAATACAAAATATATTACAAAAGGTGACCCTAAATTTCTGTATCGTGAAATCCTCTAAATAAATTTTACAGGTACTTAGAACGTATGACGTATTTTTTCCCTTATCAACTGACAAAAATTTACAATTTTTTTTGAGTTATATTTTTCGAAAAGAGAATATGGTAGAAAACTTTAATTTTAAAATATAAGATTATATTTTTCAAGAAAGCAGAAAGTACTTTTGGATTGAGCGTCTCTTTAATTGGGTTTCTACTACTCGAGAGCAGGCAAGGTGCGATGGCAAAGTCTTAAAAAATACAGCTTTACTGTGTGAGCGTATTTAATAGCCACTTAAATGACAATATAAACTTTAGCCGAAATAGAGTAATAAAAACTTGCGTAATACTTAAGAGAGGGAGAGACATTGAAAATAGGACTATAAATTTCGTTTATTGAACTGCAGTTTTTTGTTGAAAGTAAATGATCAGAAATATATTGATTTTGAACAAGAGGAATAATAATTCTAAAATTCGAATATTATTCGTAATAAATATTATTCTTAGTTCATGTCTTTGAATCTATAAATTTGAGTCTGATTTTAAACTCCCAGTTTCTATGTTTAAATCTAAATTTTAGATTTGATATTTATTGATTATACAAATATCTGAATACAATTTTCAATCCTGAGATTCATAGGTATTTTTGTAGGTTCTCTCGTTCCTTCTTCAGATTTAAGTTTCTATTGAAAATTTTATCTTCTAATAAAAGTGTCCTTAGTTCATAAAATTTTAAAATCTTAGTTACAAAGTCAGCTATAAGTTATTAACCTTAAAAATTTTATCCCCTTAAAATTCGTAAGTCCTCCATTTTAATTTTTAGCTCCTAACTTAGCCTTGGGTTCCTAAACCATTAAATTTTATCTTCTACCAAAACAGTCAATAGTTTTTAACTTTAGATCCTTAATTTCTAACTGAATTGTATGTTTCTATGCTATAAAATGTAATCATCTAGCAAAAGTGTTCTCAACGTCCCATTTTCTCCATTCGAATTTTAAAAATAACCCTAATTTATAGTTTTTGGGGTAGTTGACATCAGATTATCAAAATTCAAAATGTCGGAACCAATATGGCTGATCGAAATTCTAAAATTTGATGGATTTTTATAGAACTTGGTATCTAGGGGGTTTCGAGGTCGCTGATTACGAATCTAATGTTAAATTTTAAAAATTCAAAATGGCGGAACCAATATGGCGGACCGAAATTCTAAAACTTGATGGATTTTTATAGAACTTGGTATCTAGGGGGTTTCGAGGTCGCTGATTACGAATCTAATGTTAAATTTTAAAAATTCAAAATGGCGGAACCAATATGGCGGACCGAAATTCTAAAACTTGATGGATTTTTATAGAACTTGGTATCTAGGGGGTTTCGAGGTCGCTGATTACGAATCTAATGTTAAATTTTAAAAATTCAAAATGGCGGAACCAATATGGCGGACCGAAATTCTAAAACTTGATGGATTTTTATAGAACTTGGTATCTAGGGGGTTTCGAGGTCGCTGATTACGAATCTAATGTTAAATTTTAAAAATTCAAAATGGCGGAACCAATATGGCGGACCGAAATTCTAAAATTTGTTGGATTTTCATGAAACTTGGAGTCTACTTCAAGCTTATGGTTAGCGTCGAAAATTCTCAGTGATTCCATTTGATTTTCAGCTTTAGCTGTAATGAAAAATTCAATTATTAAAAAATTCTGATTACCCTAAATAAAAATTTTGAAAATAGACGTTTCTTTTATTGAATCCAGTTGAGCTATTGTAAGTCATAATAGTTTTTGATAAAAAAAATCACGCATTAAAATAATATACTTAAATAGATATGCTATACATATATAAACTTACCTATAGAGAAACTTTTTTATATTCACAATGAAAGCTTGTGTATACATAATAGCATTCATGTTACACATATTGTCGTAATAAAGAATAACATGCAGGTAGACAAGGGAATAAATTGTGTGTGCTTGTATTTTTCATGTGGGAGGGGTTACGATCGTACATTGGGTGTCTAACTTGATCACATTCAGTAACTACTGACGATTCAAGCATCCTGCATGCAATATCATGTTGACACTATAACCGGCTCTTGATATTTTTTTTTAGTTTTTCTTCCTCTGGCTTCGTGTGCCAAAAAAAGTGTTTCGAACTCTATTTTTTGTTTATCTCGTGTGCTGCTTTCAAAATTTCCCCCTTCAAAAAAAAAAAAAAAAACGCAAAAATAAAAATCCAATTTTTCATTTATCAAATTCAATTAAAATATTGAAATCCTAAAGGGATATCTGTGAAAAAGTGAAAATTTGAAAATAAAAAATTGTCGATCATTATTCGAACGATATTTGTGATAAAATACCCGAGAGAGATTAACTCAATTGTTAAATCCAACGAGGATATTTGAAATTGAATATGGTACTTCCGTAAATATATTTTGTTCTCCCTTTGTAAATTAAATTTTAAATGGAAATGAATTGTTTCATTTGAATTTTTATTTTTTATAAATTTCACAACAGAGTTGAAATAAATATTTTCATAAATAGCACTTTTGTATTTTTCATTAAAATTCAAATTCGTTACAATTGAAAATTAAAAGGATTAAAAAAATTTTCTATTTTTAGATGACACGAATACAGACCAAAATCACTATAATCATAACGGAGGATTAAAAACTTCAACACCTGATCAGAAGATCACTGTAAAAAGTGAGTTTCTTAAAATTTCAATTAGCTTGATTTTAAAATTTTTAGAAATAGAAAACGCTTTTTGCATGATTTAGTTTTATGAATAGAAAAATATTCATCAAAATTCTCATTATATTTGACTTATTTGTTTTCAAAAAATGTATTATATTAACAATTTTTTGTAATTTTTTAATAATTATTATTTTCGTTATTTATATATTGCAAATTTTTTTTTTTCATTTGAAAAATCAAATTCAACAAAAAAATATTTGATATTTACTTCTTTTTTTAACCGACATATTTTGTGACTCTCTCGAGGTGCTAAATATTGAAAGCACGAGGGAGCTATTAGTATAGAATAGAAGTTAGTTTCGTCGAGATTCATATGAAACATCGTCAATCGAGTTAAAATCGCAAAAGAGAGAGAGAGAGAGGAAAGATTTCTTATTGAAGTGAATTTTATTGTTTGTTTCTCTCTTATCTCCTTTTCAATTTTCGTGTGGAAATTCTCAAAATTATACATCGTAAAAATAAAAAATATTTTTGCAAGCTTTTTGTTTTGAATTTTATTTACAGTGCTGAAATAATCAACGAAGAGAATTATTATTTAACGCGATAATCTTTTTCAAGAGCCAACGAAAATAATAATTGGAAAAGAAAAATTGGATAACATCGGTGAAGCTGAATTTATTGAAAGTACAAGAATGCCTTGTGGCTCGCGCAACAGAAGAAATCGTCGTAATCGAAATCGGAAACAATTTCATCATCATCGACCCCCATCACCGCTGGAAGATAATTTTTCATCAAAAGATGAATCCCTTACCGATGAGAATGAGGAAAAACATAGCGAAGCATTTGTCGATTTATCGACAGATTTAGCCGAGGCAAATATTAATGGAAGTGCAATTAAAGTAACAACCGAGAATAATGTTGGTCTTCCCTGTGAGGATAATATGTCAATAACAAGATGGAGACCAAGAAGAAATAGATTTAAACTTGAGAAAAAAATTCTCGACACCGGAACTAAAATTTGTGAGATAAGAACCATTTGTAATTTACCAATGGAGGCGAAATTGGATCATATACCGGGAGTGGGAATTTTACAATCTGATGATATGATGACAAAAGTGACAATATCGGAACCACAAGAACCACTATTATCTGTGACGAACAAGGTCGAGACTCTTGGCGAACGAAAATTCGATCTTGCAATCTTGGCAGACAAGGGAAACAGCCTCGATATCCACGAGGTAAGCGACAGTGACATCGAGACTGACAATAGTCGGCATGCCATTGTCGTTGAAGCCGAATCCGATGTTGAACGTTCAACATCTGAGGAATCAAGTTTCGAGAAACGGGAAGACGAGGAGGAAATTGATGCCAATATGTCGAGGGAGGATGAGAAAAAATTGAGAAATTTCCTCGAGGGTCTACAATTGCCATCTTCTTCGTCCAATACTGACAAATGGGAATCATCAACACAAAAGAAGGAACGCAAGAAAAGACCTTCCCTCGAGTCTTATCCATCACAAATTCAGGATTCGAATAAACTCTTTATTATTCAAGAAGAAGGGGAAAAAGTGTCTGATGACGAGCAGAGTATTCGCGATTTCATCAATCAGGAAATTGGAAAGTATCGACGGGACGATGAAAATAAGAGGCGAAAATTAGAAGTACAAGTTAGTTCTGTTTGTGATAATTTTTCGAAAGTTGATACTCTTTTGGATGATTTGGATGATACTACAGAAGATGTTTCGAAAGAAGCAAAAGAAACCAGGGAAGGTTCTACCGAAGGTACTTCAGAAGAGTACCAATTTTCCAGAGCAAATACCTCAGGAGTAGATTCATCCGAACAGGTCCCAACAGCAGCACAAGCTTTTGAAGAACCTAACCCAAACTCCGAATTTTTTGATGATTGCGAAAATTTCAGAAATAGTGCAGAAGGTTCTAATCATGCAAACATTTATCCAGAACTCCCAACTGTTTCTGAAAAAGTTACATCAGACTTTAAAGAAACAGAAGTTCTTAAAGCAGATGAAACCATAGAAACTGTTGGTTTTATAAAGCCAGAAATTTTTGACGAAGGTATCAAGGATTTTAGAGCAGACACACAAAATTCTGAAGAAGAAAGTGCAACAACTTCTGAACTTGAAGGTTCTTCTGTACTTAAAGATTCTTCTCAACTTGAAGATGTTTCTGCTCTTAAAGATGATTCTGTACTTGAAGATGCTTCTGTACTTAAAGATGATGCTGTACTTAAAGATAATTCTGTACTTAAAGATGCTTCTGAGGTTCTTGACGATTCTTCTAGAGGAGCAAAAGATTCCAAAGAAATAACAGTAGAAAATACTAAATTCCTTCAAGAAAATTATAAGCATCCATTTTTAAAAACTTCGAAAGATGTTCTTGAAGATGATGAAGAAAAAACACTCGTTGTAGGGAAATTATTAAACGATACTAATCCTAAGGAAAACAAATTAAATTTTCCCAAAGAAAAATATTCATCATTGCAAAAGGAAAATTATCTCCCAACTGATTGGCAGTATAGACTGCAAAATATTCAAGATCGAAGATATCACCGACCTGTGCAAATTTTTACATCACTAATTCAAGATAACATCGTTAATGATATGTATGGTTCGAAACGACCACCAACACCTCCTAAACGTACAGTAAGTTTTTCGACAGAACCAGAAAGACCACCTACACCAGAAGACGATTACAATATACCAGAAATTTTTCCCTTACCATTAAGACATTGTAAATTAAAACAAGTACCAACACCTCCAATTCGTCAAAAATTCTCCCGAAATAAATTTCATCCCGAAAACTCTAATATTCTAAATTCTAATCCAATTGGAGAGTATTTTCTATCTGAACAACAATCTTTAATAGATCATCATGAACGGGTTCTTAATGCATATAAATTGACAAATTTTTCCGAACAGAAAACATTGGATTTTGTTCGTACTCTATTAACTGTTTTATCAAATCACGAAACATCGAGACAGGACGTACAGGATGTGTTGGCAAATTTCGATTTGAAACAACTTCCTGACAATATCCGCGAAATTGTTGACGATTTAATGGCTCCAAGTTTAAGTGGTTCTATCGAAAGTGACAGCGTCACGGATTTATGTAACGATGGTAATTTTGGCAGTGAGTCGAGCCTTGAAATAGCGCACGACTATGTACACGATGTGACGCTTGAAAAATTCTCCGAATCATCCCAATGGACCACGCCTGTTTCTAACGTCAATGTACGATCAAGTGAGCCAGACAACACTTCCATTAAGAAAGACAGTGATGATGAAAGTTATTCTCTAAAAGAGTCTCAGTGCCAAACATTGCCTCTTAACGGAAAGTCAGATGAGATAGGAAAATCGAACGAGTTGAATAAAATTTTTGATTACGATGATACATTAAATAACAGTCAAGAGCAAGAAGAATTTGTGCCAGACATTCATTCAGGAAGTTTAAGTCCTGATTCGGTCAGTAGTTCTGCAACGCCAAGTACGGCGAAGTACAATCCAAAAAGATCATCTTTAGACATCGATGATATTGAAACAGAAGAGGAGAGGAAAGATGATAAGAAATCTCCACAACCGAAGAGAAAATTAACTCTCCTAAAAACGTATGATGATAATTTTGAATCTGAATCTCCACAACCAATTCCTTATTCACCGGTTGAGGATCTGTATTATGTACCTCTAACAGAAAATATCACCACAAATAGACCCGATTTACTGAAAAATCTCTGCATCAAAAAAATATTGTCCATGCCCTATGGTCTACAAATAATTAACGAAATCACCCTTCCCAAGTTTAATATTTTCAAAAATTTGAGTAAAATTCAGGAGCATATTGAAAATAGAGAACAAAAAATGCAGAGATCAATGACATGGTTGGGTGTTCCGACAACTGAAAATCCGAATTTGTTAGTTTGCCTCTCGCCATCACAACAAACAACCGAAATTCGAAAGGATGCTGACAAACTACTGGACCTACACACCAAGTTCCTTAACAGACGCACCTATTGGGATTGTCAACCCAATAAACACAAGGTGACGCCCATGCAGTATAAAATTGATCTAACCCCAAGGGAAACTGAAAATAGAAATTCTAGAAAAGAAAAAAAGTACGACACCACGAATAGTAGAAATTTTGCCAACGAATATAAAGATTCAAGATTATTGAATATTATCAAGGAAAATCCAGTGCCTCGACAACAGTTATTAAATGTCGACGATTCTCAAGATCGTTTGAGGGTTACACGATTGAGTGATTGGCTGAACCTTGCGAGGCGTGATTCTGCTCATATCTCTCAATGGACGCCAGCATGTGCGCCTGGTGAACTATTAATAGAAAGCACGACGAGTCAACACAATTCTGATAAGGAGTATAACACACCACCGTCCATCAGTTGCAATACCCAATACAATGTGGGCGGATCATCGAGAATTCATACCAACAACGAAATTATCACTGATAATTCTATTTCTAGACGATTTCCTGAAACGAATCATTACGTTAATAGTGCTCTAATAATAAAATCATCCGATACAACAAATCGTTTAACACCACTACCCAAAAGTCCAATATCAATGAACAGTGCAATCATCGATAAATCATCAAAAATCGAATCCGAGGGAAAAATGAATTTCCACGATCAAAAATTGAGTGAAACGGTTCAAAAAAGACCTGTCACTGTTGATAGATCCTGTATCGATACAACCAGCATTTTCGATAAATCACCACCCAAGGGACATTTGGAGGCAAGAAAGTATCAAAATTTAGACAATGTAAAAATAGTCTCAGCTGCTGAAATAATGGACAATTTGAAACAATTACAAGCGAGTATGAAGGATCAATTGCAGGGTCGTAAGAGGTATTCACTTCCTCAGGAGTATTTCGATAAACAGTTGCGGTACATCGAATTGTTGGAGGGTGAACTTTGCAATGTGCTTTTCAGTGAAGAAGATATTATCCAAGAGGAGGAGGAGGAGGATGATTCGAGTGTTGAGAAAGTATTCAGGTCCAATAAATCCGATGGGGTACCGTCAAACAAAAAGTTTGTCAAGTTCCTCGATGATGACGATTCTAAAAAAATTATTTCTAATTTGAAAAATAGTGGTGTAAACAACGATAATCGTAGAGTTGTAGAAAAAATTGTAGAATTCCAAAAAGAGGAGGTAAAAATTGACAAACAACAACAGATTCTAATTTCTGATCTTGTCCAAAATGCTGACTTGGAGAAACATTTAGAACATCTTGTTGGGAAAAGAAATGCTAATGATGATTTGGAAAAACATTCAGAACATCTTGTTGAAAAAAGAAATGCTAACGCTGATTTGGAAAAATATTCAGAACATCTTGTTGAGAAAAGAAATGCAACTCCTGATTTGGAAAAAAATACAAAACATGCTGTTGGGGGAAAAAATACAAAAACTGATGAAGAGACTACAGAAGATAAAGTGCTCCAGTTAAAAAATTTGAATATTAGTCAGAATACAAATTTTGAGAACAACAGAGAATGTGAGAATGGAACTAATGATCATCATAATAGTGTAAATTCTAACGAAAATGAAAAATCTGCAACTAATCCGAAGACTACTGTCAACAACAGAGAAAATAAAACAACCGATGCTATAACTAACGAGGAATCTTGGCACCAAGATGCGAATCATTCAAACGTAACTGAATCTGATCGCAAGAAGACAGTAGACGATAGATCAAGATCGAACCAAGATCATAAGGAAACTATTGTCGAACAAGTGCAGAACGATACAATGTCAAATGATAAAACCATCATCGAACAAGTGCAAATAAAGACAATAATAACTGATGAAACTTTAACGGAAATTTGTCGAACTACAACAATAAAAAATGACGAAAATTGTCAAATTAGTGCTACGAATGGTCACAATTTCCAAAGTAGTGCAACGGATGGTAAAAATTGTCAAATTAGTGCAACGGATGGTAAAAATTTCCAAAGTAGTGCAACGGATGGTAAAAATTGTCAAAGTAATGCCAGAGATTATCAAAATTCCCAGACTACTACAAAAGATGATGGAAATCTTCAAACCACTACAATAAAAAGTGTTGAAAATTGTCAAACTAATACAAATGATGATTGCAATTGTCAAACTACTGCAATAACGAATGTTGATAATTGTCAAACTGATACAACAAATGTTGAACATTGTCAAAGTACAGCAACAAATATTGAACATTGTCTAACTACAGAAACAAATTTTGAAAATTGTCAAACAACTACAACAAATTTTGAACATTGTCTAACAAAAAAAAATGTGGAAAATTGTCAGAAAATCGAAACAGATTTAAAAGAAGAAATTCATGATTGTGAAAAAATTAAGGAACGTCCAATATCAATTGTATCAGCACTGCCAATAAATGGTGAAGTTTTTCGAAAACAAATGTACGACGAATATTGTCATAAAGTATTGGAGAGGGAAGAGAGAAAGCATCATAAGCTTGTAAAGATAAGCTCCCACCAAGACATTGAAAAATCTGATAAGCAACTTGATAATATGAGTTTAGTTGAAAAGGAATTTATAGCGAAGGCAAAAAATAGAATGAATAAATTTGGAATTAATCTTGATGATAGTGATACGGATGGATTTTGTAATGGTGGTGATGGTGGTAGTGATGATATAGTTGAAAATGAAGATTCGATCAAGGCCAGGTGTTTTGTGGATGGAAGGGAGGTCAAGGACGCGAGCAGTTTACCAAAACATCTACAGGAATTTTTGCAGCTGTCCAGTAAAATTTCTTACGAGGAGGTGGAGCAGGTGTTGGAAGACGACGGTGAGTCGTGTATAGAAAAAAAAAAAAGGATTTTGCTGTGTCGTTTTCGAATTGCTGCCTTTACCTCCTGTCCAAAATCTTTTCACCTGGCCTTTTTTGAAAACAAAATAAACTTACGCTCTTAATGAGATATGTGATAGCTTTCAGTGATTACGTTTTTGTTTCTTTTTTTGGATTACTGTTTTTAACAGTTTTACTAACAACCTAATTTATCGAATGTTAGGAATTTTCCCTTTTTTCGCCAAAGAATTTTTTTCCATTTCCAAAATAAAAGTTTTTTTTTTAATTTTAGCATTGATTCGTGATAACAGGAATTTTTATTTACCGAACAAATTTGATAAATAAAAAATTGTAAAGTTAAATGAAACAAAGTTGACAAAAGTCAGGGAAGTTAGGGAATTCAGGGAAGAGGCAGGGAAAGTAAAATTGGTCAAAGAAAGCAGGAAAAAATAGTAAAAAAAAATAGTAAAGAAAAAAGTAATAAAAAAGTACTGGGAAAATTAAATTTTTAGAATTCATAAGAAAATTTTTGAATTTTGGTGCATTTTTTTATTTGTCTAGTAAACAATGAAATAACTACGAATTCTATTACGAAACATTCAATTTTTTCTATTTCTGACAATAATTTCTTTTTAAAGAACTTAATTCTTCAAGAACTATATCATAAAATTAATACTTAGAAATTATTTAATTGATAATTTTACTTAAATATATTTCAAAATTAATTGAATTTTGAAAGAGTTGCGTTTACAGTTTTTATGAATAGATGAAATTTAAAAGGTTTCAATTTAAAAATTTTATGAAATTTCAATTTTAAATAAATTAAATTAAAAATTTTATTAATATAAATTCTTCTGCAATTAGTTAAATTTTTTAATATATATTTAATTAATTATTAAAAATAATGGATTTATAGAATAAATTTAGTTAAAAAAACAAAAAAAATTGAATTTTGGAGAAGTTACAATTGATTACAAAAATTCAATTCTTTTCAAAAGTATTAAAATTCTTCGAAGAAATTCAATTATGTTCGAAAAATTAAAAAAGTTTTAATCAATATTTCAATTATCTTTATAAATAATAAAATTCTTGGCAAAATTTCAATTATTTTCAAAAATTTTCCTCAATTCAATGATTTCCAATGTTTACTATTTTAAAAAAAATTTTCCTAATGAATTCAATTATTTTTATAAATAATAAAAATTTCAAAGGTATTCAATTATTTACAATTTTTTTTATTAATTTTTTCGCAGTAATACAATTATTTTCATAAATAATAAAAGTTTTTACAGGAATTCAATTAATTTTGTAAATAATAAGATTCTATTTAGGAATTCAATTATTTTTATTATAATTTTAATCAAATTCCTCGAAAAAAGTAAATATTTTTAAAAGTTTTATTAAAATTCTTCAAAAGAATTCAATTATTGAAAAATTTGTTGATAGAATTTTATATGAGAATTCAATTTTATGTAATTTTCAATTATTCCATAAATTATTTATTTTTGTATTTAAATGATTTAATTCTCGTAGAATTTTCTAATAAAAATTTATTTATAAATAAATTTCAGTTAAAATTTTATAATTTTTTAATTTAAAGAAAAATTTTTTTTTTTAATTTTTAGAAATAATTGAAAATTAAAAAAGTTTTAAATTTTTTGAAGTTTCGTTAAAAGGTTGAATTTGAAATTTTTGAAAATCTTAATTCCTATGAAAAAATAATAGTAATTATAACTAAATTCATTTGAAATAAAACTATTTGCGTTTTTATAATCCTAAAATTTTAAAGACGAGTAAAAAGAAAATTCTAAATGTAGAAAATTTAAAAAATGTTTGTAATCTTAAAAAAGAAAGAAAAACTTGGAAATTCTAAATATAAAAAAATTAGAAATAGTTTTGCTCTTTTTTGTGATTTTAACGATGGGCGGTGTAATTTTTTTTTTTTGTTTGATAAAACTTTTTCAATCATTTGGAATTCTATTTGCGGAAAAATTTGAGTTTATATGTGAAGTGTTTAAAACTAATTTTCAACAATTGGATTTGAGAAAAAAGATTTAATTTAAACGATGAATTAATTTATAATCGTGTTTTGTTGAACTAATAATGTAATTAAAATGAATACAAAAAGGGTTTTTTTTCATTGGCGTTGTTGATGTTTTTTTTATTTTTTTTTTATTTTTTTTTGTTTGACATGAATTCAGTGTATTTATGTTAAATAATTAGGGAGCATTCAGAAAATTTAATGAAGCGTACACTCGTGGCTTGTTTTCTATGGACATGTTCCATTTGTAAAAGAACTCGAGAGCGACGTACCATAATATAAATTATGTCACGTTACGTCACTTGTCCGTCAAACACACCTCGATCCACTCGTCCCGTTCTCGGATTACAGGGAGAAAATTGTATATATATATTTATATAAATTGAATGTTACACACGTTGGATAAAAAAGTATTGTTTGATAGTCAATTTTTTTTCTCTTTCTCTCTACGATTTAACGCCTTTTTTTCCTAATTAGTAAAACGCAATTAATCAAAATCAAATTATTAAAATTTTAACCCCTTTTTCATTAAAAAAAAAATGTAAATTTTTCATTATTTTGCAAAATTGTATAAAAAAACAAGAATAAGAAATAATGAATTTTTAAAAAAAGAATCTCTTTCGATAATTTTAGTTTTTAATTTTTCTAGCTGATTTCATATAAATTTGGCTTAAATCAAATTATTCTCATTGATTCTTAGTAATGAATTTAAATAATTTAAAATTATTTTCTATTTTTGAAATATTCACCGAATAGAACTCAAAAATTATTCTTATTTATTAATATTTTCATAAATAACTCATCCCAGAATTATAATTACTTTCTTTTACAATTTTAATCGAATGCCTGGAAAAAATGTAATTATTCTTAAAAATTTTATTAAAATTCGTCAAAAGAATTTAATTACTTAAAAATTAGTTTACAAAATTCTTTATGAGAATTCAATTTTGATAAATGTTCAATTATTCAATAAATTATTTATTTTTGTATTTAAATAATTTAATTCTCATAGAATTTTCTAATAAAAATTGATTTAAAAATGAATTTCAATTAATGGTTTATAATAAATTAAATATTAAAAGCATTATGGTGTACATTTTTTAGAAACAAGTTGAATTTTGAAAAAGTTTTGAAAATCTAAATTTTTCATACTTTTAACTAATAATTCTGTGGAAAATTAATTTTTTTAAAAGTTTAATAAAATTTTTGGCAATTTTTTTTTTTTTAAATTATTTGAATAATTTAGAATTATTTTCTATTTTTGAAATTTTTACCGAATAGAACAAAAATTATTCTTATTTATTGGAAAACTGAAAATTAGCATAGGTCAGTTATGTATATTTCTATTTTTTTTCTTTTTTATTCAAAATATTCTATTTCTCTCAAAGGAGAAATATCGAACGCGACTTTTGAATGTTTCAAGAATTTAAAGTGAAAAATTTGCATATGAAATTTGGATAGAAAAAATAATATATATAGAAGCGAATGACTGTATTTTAAATAATAAATTTGATATAAATTTTAAAAAAAATTTATTTTAAATAATTTAATCAACTGAAAGGACAAATAATTAATTAACTATTTCTAGAGAGCGTAGAATGTTTTATTATTTACTCACACTTGTTTAAAGGCAGACGATATAATTATCTAGAATTTTGGATTTAGAAACGACAATTTAAACTCTAGAGTGAAATGTTAATGGGATATGGTAGTGGTCATTAAAAACTATATATATATACGTCACGTTGAAAGGTACTTACAAAGTCAGAATTGATATTAAAGAGTAACTATAAAAAATCTATTTTAACATTTTTCAAATCCTTGAAATTTTTCTTATATTCCATTTATAATTTAATTTTTTTTTTTAATTTTACTTTTCATTATTTAATTGTTAAATTTTCCCTTTTTTAGCTCGTATTTATTTTTCATAATTTTTTTAATATTTTTTTTAATTTTACCTATTGTTCGTGATTTTAAATCAAGTAAATTATTTTTTAATAAATAAATGACTAAATTTATTTTTATTTACTTTTATTTTTTATTTATTATTCATTATTGATTTGTTTTTTCACTTCAAGATTATTTAATAATTATCTATTGTTGAATTAATAATGATAATAAAATTGTTTATTTCTAAAAAAATAGTCAAAAACAATAATTAAAAGTTTCGAAATGTTTGTAGTATTTTTTAATTAGTAGAAAAAGACAATTTTAGTCAGACAATTTTGCTATAAGTAGAGGAGAAGAGTTTAAGTCTGACAAATAATTTTTTTTAATTCTTTTAATCGGTGGTAAAAACTGTCTTTCATTGAGAAATGTTTTAAAATAAGTGAAATTTTTCTTTGCCGTAGAAAAAACTGTTTTTGCAAGACAAGAATTTTAGAAGCCTAGAAATTTTTAGTTTAGTAGAAACAGTCGGTTTTAGACAGGCAGAAATCTTTTTGGTTGTGTAATTTTTATGGCAGTAGTAAGAGTAGTCTTTAGTCAGACTTTTCAAATTTTTTGTAAAACTTCTCCAGCAGTAAAAAAGATATTTTTAATAAGACAATTTTTTTGGAAATTTTGTAATTTTGTTGCATAGTGAAAACAATGAGTTTTAGTAAGACAAATAATTTTGTTTCTATTTATTTTTATAATCAGTAGTAAAAACTGTTTTTGTCAGACAAAACTTTTTAAATTTCTGGAATTTTCATTATCGGTAAAAAAATTTTTCTGCCAGTCAATAATTTTAAAATTTAAAAACATTTTAGTTCAGTAGTAAAAGTCAGTTTGAGGCAGACAGGAAACTTATAAAATCGTGTAATTTAAATTTCAGTAGTAACAGTCTTTTTTAGTCAGACTAATCAATTTTTAGTAAATTTTTTTCATCAGTAAACAAGACATTTTTAGTAAGCCAATTTTTTGTAATTTTTGTTATTTTCTTGCACTAATGAAGTCAAAGAGTTTTAGTCAGACAAAT